ATTGGGGGAGGGGGGGGGGGGTGGTGAAAGAACATTTTATCCTATTTTTGCTAGTTGTATATATACGACCACGCCTTGTTTCACTCGATTAACTTTTTGTTTAACTTATTTCACGTACTACCTGGTTAGCCTTATTAACTTATTGGACAATCGATATTGGCTGCTTAATAATCTTCTGAGGGTTCTTTTTCAAATTAAGTAATACGAAGGAATAATTTATTCCTTGGTAACGGATATACGCTCGTGCTCATATATATATATATATATATATATATACATGCATATACAGTCAAGACGTTAACGCGATTCCGAGATTGAGAACAGGCAGCGACACACGTATGAGCCATTAGACTTCTTAGTAATTTGGCGTAATTTAGCAATGTAAACGGTTGGCGGTTCCCTGCAACGGGGAATTGTATTAAATTGTATTAAGTCCCATAGACTTGCCAACCACGTAACAGCCATTATTATTCGTGCGTGTTATCCAGTTATAGCATGCATCTATACGTGGGTACAATAAGTATGTTATATATACGGTATCTATCCCGGGATATGCATATAGAGTGTATCAGAGGTATCTCAAGTTTCCTTACCGCACTGTACGGACGTTAGAATTAGTATTGTACTTACTATAGCTTTATTGACTATAGTGTATTAAGGTATGTATCGCATTATATAGGTATATAGGCGAGTTAGACAGGGTGGTATGAAATATGGTTTGATAATTAAGTAGGAAGAAAAATATGACCTGAGTGGAGGGGGAAAGGGGAAAGAGAGAGAGAGAGAGAGGGGGGGGAAGGTGAGGAAAGGAAAATTACGAAGGAACGAGAGGGAGAGAAAAAGGAAAAAAAATCCGAGCAAGAGTCACGTCCTACAGTCAAATGGCAAGTAAAGACGAATCTTTGAGAAGAGAGCTTAGTGTCACTCGTCAAAGATTAACTTCTTTTCTCCCTTTGGATTCTTTTATTTTCTTCTTATATCTTCTCACTCTCTCTCTCTCTCTCTCTTTCTCTGTTCTTTTTCTTTACTGGTTATCCTCTATAATAATGAGAGACAGAGAAAGAGAGACAGTGAAGAGACTCAAAGAGAGTGTCGACAGAGAAGCAGATTTTCCTCTTGGTTGAGTTATAATGAGAAAGAAAATTCCAATTTAAATATCTCCGAAAGCCGAGTAAAATAATACCATTCGCGTCGCGACGGACATTGCCTCGGGTCCATGAGACAACTGGACTATAATAATTCAATTTGTACGACCTTAGACATCCGTATGGTATTGGTGATTTTTGAAATTCCCGCCTTTTTAAGTTCGACTTCGCGTCCGCTTTATCGTAAGGAACAGCCGTAACGAGAGGAACGGAGTATAGGTATAAGATATAACGAAGGGAACCTCTCTGTCCCGTAAGTGAGGTTAGGTCGCATCGATGCGCCAAGCTAAGACTCGTATAAGGCAAAAGGATGGAGAGCTTTGGAAAATGGAAGTGAGCCAGTATAAGGAGCGAGAGAGAGAAAAGAGTGCTCACTCACAGCAGCCAGTAGATTTGTTAAGGCAGATAGTCAGTGAAGCCAGGAGGAAGAGGAACAAGTGGCAAGAGACGTGAGAAGCGCGCTAAGAGAAAGCGAATAAGAAGAGGAAGAGGCCGTAGAAGAGTCCTTACGATCTTGAAGATATTCAACCAAGTATGCCGGGATGGAAGGATCTTCGTCCTGTCGACGGGTAAACTTGGAATATATATCGCCGGCGTTAAACGCGGATAAAATTGTCTCGCTCGGTTGCGATTACGACCTTAACTCCCTTCGTTCCTCGAGACTCGAACCTACCGAAACCCTCAACATTATACCCTAGCAAGATCCCATGGTTCCTCTTCTTATCCTTTCTAACCTCCCCTCGTTCTAACCCATCAGGGCAAGTGTTATCTATTTAATTTCCTCACGCCGCCAACACGATCATTAGACCACTCCATCTTGGATTTATCCATTTCCTCGTGTCTCTTTTTTACATTAGCAATTATTTGATTATCCCGAAACATCCAATTGTGTATTTTTGCTTTACTTAAATATTTCTGAAAACAAAAAATTGTTTTCTTACAATAAAGTTCAGTTATCGGTAATACCTGATTAATAATTTACTTACTACAGTGCGAGGTATACTTTGTTATTTTCAGATTTTGGAAATACTCATTGTCACAGTCGATACGACGTGATGCATCAGGACAAGCATTCTGTTCAGCCGCTACCCGATATCGTACCAGCCAGTAGTGTTAGTATCATCAGGAATACTAGTTTTAATGGTAGTAGTAGCCAGTAGCACTAGGGAGCGATTCCGTTAGAGGATGAGATGAAGGGCGTCGGCTTATCTCTACGATGTTCACGAAGGAGCAGGATGGAGATGGAAGTGGAGTCAGTGAGTAAAAGCAAGCATCCAGGCAGACAGTAAGGCCAGGAAGGATCAGCTGGAAGTGGTAAGTAGAGTGAGACATTTCTACGCACGAGTATTAGATGCTATACTACCATAGTGAAAACTACTAGTAACTGATACTAATGCTCTTACCTCTATCTAGGAACTACCAAGGGCCAATGGAGTAAATCCCTTGGACTTGTTTATCCGGATTCGGATCGTGCGAATTATCGTAATGGTCGACGAGAAAGAAGTCGGAGACACTCAGGGAACTCGGACTTAATTAAATATTGGATTCTGAGACGGAGTCCTGTCCAAGGATCCAGAAATATTTAACCTTTGGACTCCGAACGCAGGAACGAGAAAAGCTGTTGTTACAATGGCTGAGTCAATTTCGTTGTTTTTTTTTTCCTGCAAAATTTTAAGGCTTCGTTATTACAATTTTCATATAAATTCAAAGCGTCGCACCAGCGAGACGACAATTAATAATGTTTGTAACGAGTAACAATTTCGGAAGGATTCGCGGAATTAATTTTGTCATGGCTTTGCAATCGCGAGATTTCGATATTCGGTTGTTCGGATTGTGACTGAGAATTTCTCTCGTTTATACGCGACAATAATTGTACGCTTTGTGTCTCCGTATCGCTCGCTGCCGCTCTCGTCTATATTTTATTATCTGTTTTTCGAGGCGAAGCGCGTTCGTTAGTATTAATTAAGCTGTGGTACACAATTTTTTTTTCTTTCCCATATATTTACGCATGACGATCATATGCTGTTTGTGTGATTAACAAAAAAATTAATCTGCGTTATTTTCGACGCTCTATTAAAAAGAAAACTTATAACGATACTTCCTTTTGGAATTTTGTACTTGTATTTCAATGAGTCAGATTATTATTGGCACTATGGTGGATAGAGAGTTTATATTGAAAAAGGAAATGAAAAAAATTTGAATAAAAAATCGTAACAGTTAATCAATGAAAATTCAACAATTTTCCAGCTTCCCTTACGCACAGTCCATTCTCGTTCACGGTAGCGTTTCATCGATCGGTGCACTGGAGGGTTACATTTTTCGGAACAACCGCGAAAAACAATACGTAGGAACACCTGGCTAGAAAACAGGGGGTTGTTTCGCTAATTGGTCTCGTAACGAATACCTGATATTGGTTTAAACTTTTCCGCATTGTGTGATATTTCCATAACCGTATACAGTCCCGTCGTGACACGTGCACGCAGCTCGAGATTTCCAGTGCGAATGCAGGAGTTGTTGTCTGCATTACCGAAGCGAAGTTTACTTCTGTCAAATAAATAAAACGACGAGTCCTCACTGCCTTAAATTGCTCAAACTTGTAGAATTTTTCTTATAATTAAAAATATATATTTGTCCCAACGAATGCAGTGTACGACGGCAATGCTTAATAAGGCTAAAATTGATTTTACAATAAAGTATCGTTGTAATGCCAGTAAATTACCAGCTGAAATTCGACAAACTATGGTTAAATCGCAAATACCGTGGTTCCTGTAAGCCACAAGAATTATTAGTGATCCGAAGCGCCTGGTTGTTTCTCGCAGATGAATTCTCGGTCTTGTCTGGGATACGATTTCAACTGGGAACACTAATTACGCATTCGTCGTATTCCATTGTGAATATCGGGACGGTCTACGGTAGCGTCCATGTCCGATTACTAGTGCTGCCATCTAGCGGATGTTAGCATAACTGTGTAGGGACGATACGATACGAAATTTAAAACCAACAGAATTTACTGGACGCTTGTACATACCTGAAAAGCTTTTTCCTTCCTTTGACAAATCACTGTATCTCTATGTATGTTACAAAAATCCAGATACGCAAAGACGTATGGCTTCGCGACATGTAGACTCAAAAAACAGTAGAATTTAAAGTCATTAATTATTGATAATAACACATCCAGACCAATTGGCAACTCTCACACTGGACTTTTTATCCATTCGAGCAGAATCCTAAGGATAAGACCGGGGTGGATTTTTCGATAGTAATTTCAGCCAGAGTCCGAATCACGATCGGGAAGCTGGATGTACCCGAGCTAGCCGGAAGTATGAACAGGTAAGGAAAGAATGGGAGGACTAGTGAAAATAAAAAATATGAAGAGGAAAGAGATGAGGTAAGGAAGGGACGAGAAAGTAGTCGAAAATCAAAAAGAATAAAAAGTTTAAAGATAACAGGAGTTCGTGGTCGGAATGACATACGTGGCTCGCCGTTGGATACACATATATATAATATATGGTCCGGTAGTTCTGTATATATATTACAGATTATATACAGGTATTCCAAAGGCTCTGGTATACGTATAAGAAGTAAGAGATAGTGGGGGAAGCGCGAGTCAATGTAGCAGAGGAAATCGCTGACTTATGGTTTACCAGCGTCGCGCTAGCTGATGGTTACTGGTATAGCTAGATGTGTTGGGGTTGACGGTAAGGGTGGGGTGCCAGAAAAGGGCCCTACTCCTGGAACTGGTGCTGAGTGGGTAGTCATACCTTTTTCATAAAGCCCAGTGAACTCCGGAGCTCGCGACTCTTTTACATTGTAGCCAGATTTCAACGATTAATTTTCCTCCATTGTGCCCGTACCATTCATTTCGTCTTTGCGTCTTCATTTCTCTGCCTTGCTGAGTCCTCTTTTTCTCTCTCTCTTTACCGACCTGTCTGCTACTTCACTGAGGACAGGATGCACAGTTCGCATTGTCATTGGCAAACAAATCTCAATGGGAGTATTAAAAGTATCCGGTCTAATAGAAACTGGCATTAACGGGGTGAATTTTGTAAAAAAAAAAAAGAAAAAAAAAGAAAATCCTGCTTTATTCTCATTCGCCAATTTTTTTTATAGGATATTGACGTAACTGGACGAATACCGAGTATATACAAATATTCACATTGTATATCTGTCAATATAAAATTAGCGTGGCAAAGTAATGAGGCATGCAGTCTTGGAAAGATATAAGCTGGACGAAATGAACGTGGGCGCAAAGGTAGGCCTTGAAATATTAAATTATTTTGGTTTTATAAATTTTTAAGTAAATTACCTTCAACAAGTTGTCAGATGTCAGTCTTCTCACGTAATATACAAGATGATTGAAAATTGATAAGCACGGACGATATTTTCAAGGTTAACCTTTGATGTCACACTTATTTTCTGTATCTGGAAGATACAAAGGGAAATGGTGCGAATTCACGGCAGTGTGGCGACGAAAGGTTAAAGCAGATAAACGTGATCCTAGTTTTATCGAGTGCTTAGCCTTTTAAATGTGCAGCAGTTCAGTGTTAAAGGGTCGCGGAAATAGAAGCGTCTTAGAGTTAGGTTAGGATTGATGTGGAACACGAATAATGATCAGTAGTTCGTCGCAGCGTATTTAATAATTATGAATACGAATATTTAGGTTATAAAACACAGCACTTTTTTAAGTAGTACTTTTACGTACGGTGGCGACACCACCGTCTGCGGGACTGGCGCAATCTGTTTTTATGTGGTAAGTTGGTACACTCTGTGTCATAAACATTACGTCTGCCGAATAAAAGTTTTCGCGTATCTTTTTTGGAAGGATTTTTCAACAACTAAATCGTTGACCAGACTCTGGAATAATATTCGTGACATTTAGTGTACCTGGCGAGTATTCATTTTCCAGATACATACTAAATCTGTACAATCGTTCCCAATTCTTCCCATACTTCCTTGTCAGACGTTAGCACGCCGTGGCGCACAGGGTTAAACTGACGCCATCACAATTCTTAACGCGTAAGGATATTTGATTATTTAAATTATTTAATACTTTCCTTAAATCCTAGAATACGCATGACGTGCTATATATTATTTTGTGTATAAATCCATATTCGTAAATTTTAAAAAATGACTAGCAATGCATGCAGGCTAGTGCATATAAGAAATTTTTTCAGTAAATAATTATTTATTAAGAAACAGATAATCAGATTATTTTCATTTTTATTATTTACCATGTATTAGGTAAGAGACTTCTATGTCACTACTTTTTCATCTTTTTTTTAGTCTTTTTCTGTTTTTCTTTATTCTCCCTTCTTCTCGGCTCTTTGACGGGTTTTTACGTGCGATATGCCCAGCACGAAAAATTGATGGCCCAAGGGCGCAATACCCTCCATGTTTGCTCGCTTCTGTTCACCTTTCCTCGAGTTTCGCACTCCTCGTCCTCGAACTCTCCTTCGAGTTCGGATGCATCTTTTGAGTACAGGATGTCCTCGTGGAATTCTCGCGCCTGGTGTATTGTCTTCATTTCCACAATCTTTTCTTTCGAAAGCGACACCTTACGTATCTTTTCTTCCTATTTTTTTGTCATATCTATTATTTACCTCTTTTCTTACCCCGCTTTCTTTATTTCGCCTCGCCAAGAAACCGGAACGATATTGCCAAGAGCACGCGGTCGAAATTCAGGCCAAAGAATTTGGTGTCTCGATTTTCCAAATTCCACGTAAACCGCGTACCAGTAGAAATATCGAACAAAAGTATGCACACGTGCCCGTGGGATTATCAATGTACAGGCATTATCCTGACAATGAGAATTGCGAGTAGACACAGCAAATAAAGCAGGAACCGCGTGCGAGATCAATCTGGTATATTAATATTATGCTGAGTAAGACAGACTCTTTTTAAAAAACGAAGTCACAGGGTATCAGCATGCTTTCCACGAAATTAGACACTTCACAGAAACTTTTCAAGCTATTCATTTCCCATTCCCTGATACCCTGGTACATTCGTAGTAATTTAAACAGCGCATTGGTAGCTCATCGAATTCTGGCACATCACATAAGGAGGCGGCAGCCATAAGTAAAAGAAGGAAGGAGCTCATCGAATTCCTCCAGCCACAACAAAGACGATGGAAGATTCGAATAAAAATCCTCGTACGCACTTCGTGAGTTTCCCTCGTCAAATATATTTTCTCCACTTCGATCCAGTCCAAACCACAAGATACTTCGTACGACGGGTGTAAAGTTTCCGAGGACAAGAATAAAAGAAAAAAAAAAGGGAACAAACTATTAAGACAGAAAGAAACCAAGAGCAAGGTCAGCTGTTATAAATCCCCTTTCCCACATTTAATTTTCCCTAGAACCACACAAAATTCACAGTCATCGCATTGACAAAATGACCTAAAACAACTAAAATCGAAAAAAAAAAAATTAAATCGCATTTCCAAAACATAAGAAAAACAGTGTATCTGATCGCGTAACTTCTGTAAAACAAGCTGAACCTAACCTAAAATCTGTAAAACGTCAGCCGTTGGGCCTGCGTGAAAAATGTTTTTGCTCGCGAGGTTATGTACCATAATATCAAGACAATCCGACACGGGTCCTAGAGAGGAGCGAACGGGTCAAGACGTAAGTCACTTTAACAGAATTGGCTAAGAGTGTCAGGGATCAGGCAGACCTCGTGGAATGACACTA